AGGTTCTAACTACCGCTTTGATGAATTTAATAGCTCTACAAATGCGTGATACGCAGAGAACCTTGAACAATATTCCATCAAGTTTGGAAACTTTGACAAATTTACAAGAACTTGATTTATCGCAAAACGATTTACCTCGAGTACCGGACGCGCTTTATTCTTTGGTGAATTTACGTCGTTTAAATTTAAGCGACAATCAAATAACTGAATTATCAACGGCAATCGGTATGTTCGTTATGATTACTATATATATCTACTTAATATTTTATCTGATGTTCGATTTTGATTTTAGAACTTTGGACAAAATTGGAAACGTTCAATATATGTCGTAACAAATTGACAGTGATACCTGCTTCTCTTTGCAAAATTGTTACTCTTAGAAGATTGTATTTGAACGACAATCAATTAGATTTTGAAGGTATTCCTTCGGGTATTGGTAAATTGTCGTCGTTGCAAGTATTTTCAGCGGCTAATAATCGTTTGGAAATGATACCCGAAGGTTTGTGCAGGTATATTTTTTGTTTTGTCACATTCTAATTGTGATTTTGTTATAATTTAATTCGAATGTATCAATATTAAAAAAAGTGGTATAATAATTTTTCTCTGGTATCTATCGTGGATATGTTTAAAAGTATCGCGAATATGTGAGTTTCTTTTCCTCAGATGTGGATCGTTAAAGAAATTAATATTATCCTCTAATCGGTTGATCACCGTACCGGATGCTATTCATCTTCTTACCGATTTGGAACAACTTGATTTAAGAGATAATCCGAATTTGGTAATGCCACCGAAACCAATGGAAGTTCAAAAAGGTTCCGGCATCGAATTTTATAATATTGATTTTTCTCTGCAACATCAATTACGACTTGCTGGCGCCAATGTACCTACACCGATTCAAACTTCTGGTATATTTATGATATTTGTTGATGATACAGACAATAGTGAAAAATTAATTAATGATCGATTTATACGATTATATATACGATTACATTGTACATGCGATTATATTTTAATATTCTTTGTATATTTCATAATATTATTTCATAATTTTTTATAATTGAATATTTTATATTTTAGGCAGTAAGGATCCGATAGCGCGCAAAATGAGGCTTAGAAGAAGACGAGATCAAGAAGAAGCTGATCAAGATCAAGCTAAGATACTGAAGGTATATTATTATTTTTTTAACATTTTTTTATATTATAAAGAGAATCAGAAAAGTAGGATGACTTTTCGATATGATGAGTTTTCTTTTTCTTTTTTCTTTCTTTCTTTCCTTTTTAGGGTATGAAGGATATTGCGAAAGATAAAAACAAAGATAAAGAATACGAAGACTCCAAAGTGGAATCATTAAAGTAAGCATAAAATATGCATTATTCAAGAATTTGTCGTTTAATTAGTTTATTATTTTTATAATTTTAGGAGTCTCTCTCTCTCTCTC